GCAGAGGGAAGAAATATTAAGTCCCATTTGTGCAAACAGAAGTCTGTGAGCAGGTGGGGGCATTGCAGTTAGATGTCGCCCACCACTTTTAAAACATACTACTAAAATAAGCTGTTCACATACACAATAATGGCGTAGTGTCTTTTTATTATTTTATATGGCATGCAATTAAAAAGGCTATACAGAATACCAATAAGTAAGTAAAGCAAATATAAGGACTTTCAAGTCCCATTGAAAGCCACCGGATTTTCCCGGATGTCACTGGAATTTGAAAAGTGGAATTGCTGTCAGGAGGGGGTGGGGGGTGGATTTCCGAAAGGCGGCACTTTGTCCTGGATCTTAGGCAAGTCAATTGGAAAATCATGGTTTTTTTAAATTTTCGTGGTGTTCTGATTTTTACTTTATGAAATATGGCAACCCTATGTAAGCTAGACATAACCAGTTTTCAGCCCCATCTGCACTATATATTTAAAGCAGTGTCTTAACGCTTTAAACAGTTATGGCTCCCCCTCTCACCCCCAAAATCCAGGGAAGTGCAGTTTGTTAAGGATGCTTAGAGTTGTTAGGAAACCCCTATTCCCCTCAAGAGCTACAATTTCCAGAGTTCCCTGGGAAAGAGGGGTTGATTATTAAACTACTTGTGGGAATTGTAGGTGTTTGAGGAGAATAGCTCAATAAAATTCATACTAGGGATTTTTCATTTCCATGCCACGCAGATCTGCAAAATTTTCAGTTTTTCAAAAATAGGCAGTTCTTCAACCTGATAGTAATGTGGGACACTCAGTGTGACTCTGCATGGGAGGTAAAATGTGATTCCTGAGCTGCTCATCCCACCTCCAAATGCCATTTCAGGCACTGTTTTGCACCCAGCCTTTAGCATGCAAGGGGATTTGAAAAAGCAGCAGTCACAGTGCAGTATCTCCAGAGCTCATCTGCAGCCTCCCCTCTCTCGCTCTCTGCAGCCTCACAAAGTAATATGTTCCCTCAGTGCGCATTGTGACAGACACATTTTAAGACTAACTAGGGCACCTCTTCTCCTCAGTAAAAAATGTACATTCATTTTTAGTATTTAACATTCCACCCAGCATTAACTTGCCCCCACAGTTGGCAAGTGTGAAGGAATAAAAAGCACATGACTGTTTTGTCTGTTTTTAGCAAAAGCTTTCATTTAAATTCATAGTGTTTCTTATCTGCAGCACACATGCTGTTTGTCTTAAACAGACAATACCCATGATTCAAAGCTCCCTGTGCCCTGGGAGGGACGGATCCATACGCTCGCTCTCAGGGTTCTGTCCCTTCTTAGAGCTGACAATAGAGAAGCCTCGCTGGGCTTGTGGATCAGCAGTGCTGGGTTGCAGCTTGTTTACCCCATGTGGCTGGCGGGGGGGGGGGGGAGCGGAATAGCAAAAGCTGCCACTTCCCATTATAGTTTGTGTCTGCATGTCTCTTCCAACACAAGCAATGTTTCACCAGCTTAGACAAACAAACACAAACCTTTCCTGGCTAATGAAGAGCTATGTTTTAACCTTGTCACTTTTCCATAATCTGGACAGTGCTTGATAATATGAAAATAAACATCAGAGAAATGAGTTCTGAAGTTTCACATGGTTATGCTATAATACCTGTGACAGCTAACTGGAGTGTTATCAGCATCAGGCTAGTGTAAAAGGGGTGGATCATTCAATCAGGACGTTATGCACGTTATGTCTTTCCTGATTGCTAATAACCACAGGACTGTAAAAGGTTTATTATATGCAAATGATCCCTTGTGGTAGTAGGTTGCTGCTACAAGTAGAAGCAGTGTTGATCACTCCTTCTAGCACATTCATCATCCATGTGTGGCTATAATAATATACAATATATGCCCACTGACATACAGTATCCAGTGATACCTCTGGTTATGTACTTAATTCGTTCCAGAGGTCCGTTCTTAACCTGAAACTGTTCTTAACCTGAAGCACCACTTTAGCTAAAGGGGCCTCTTGCTGCCGCTGCGCTGCCGGAGCACAATTTCTGTTCTCATCCTGAAGCAAAGTTCTTAACCCAAGGTTCTATTTCTGGGTTTGCGGAATCTGTAACCTGAAGCGTATGTAACCTGAAGCGTATGTAACCCAAGGTACCACTGTATATGTCACTGGGTATTCTTCACATACGGGACGCGGGTGGCGCTGTGGGTAAAAGCCTCAGCGACTAGGGCTTGCCGATCGAAAGGTCGGCGGTTCGAATCCCCGCGGCGGGGTGCGCTCCCGTTGCTTGGTCCCAGCGCCTGCCAACCTAGCAGTTCGAAAGTAGATAAATAGGGACCGCTTACTGGCGGGAAGGTAAACGGCGTTTCCGTGTGCTGCGCTGGCTCGCCAGATGCAGCTTTGTCACGCTGGCCACGTGACCCGGAAGTGTCTCCGGACAGCGCTGGCCCTCGGCCTCTTGAGTGAGATGGGCGCACAACCCTAGATTCTGTCAAGACTGGCCCGTTCGGGCAGGGGTACCTTTACCTTTACCTATTCTTCACATACCATCTGTTCATGTTTCTCTCTTGCACGAGGAGGTGCCCAATCACTTACATCCCTAATTTTGTGCTTCTTTATGGTTTTGAGTTTGCCAGTTGTTCATTTATAGCACAGTACTTTGAAAGGGGGAAAGTCCTGTGTAAGTCAAACACACACTTGTGAAAAGAATACCGGCCGGCCAAGGATGGAGTAGTAGATATTCTACAGAACCACACTGAAAGATGTGCCCATTTGCGAAGGTTGCTGGAGCCATCTTGATTTGCCAATATTGGAATGTAAGCCCCACTTTGTTAATTGGATATGCACCACCTTTCCTGATACAGTTGACAGCAACTTACAGAAATAAAAGAATACAGTAAAAGCAGTACTGTGCAAAAAAAGCAAACAATGAAAACCAGCAATAATGCAATTTCAGATCAGTTGCAACTGGCGTATAATTTAGTCTGTCTGGTCTCTGTGGTCAGTTTGGATTTAGAGGATGGTTTGATTCTGGAAACAGAACGAAATGACCTTTAGGTTCTTTCAAAACCAGCAGTGCTCTCATCAAAAATTCTTGGAGGACAGAGACATTTCAGACCTCAAGCGCCGATGCTTTGCCCTCATTGAGCCTCTAATCCCAGGATTATTATTTCAAGTTTTTTGTTTGTGAGCTACTAGGGTTATAGCCCATAATCACATTTGTGAGCTGTTCATTGGTCACATCTTTGCCCTCTATTCCTTGTTTACTGTCCTCTATGATATACTGTATTAGAGAGAATTTTAAAGGTGTTTAATATAAGCCCCGCTTGCCAAGTAACAATCAGGTGCTCAATTTTAAGGCTCCCAGTTGTTCCTTTTCAGTCGCATCTTTACAGGCTGCACATCTGACATCATATACAACATCAGGTGCAGGGCAGGTGGGTTTAGTTTGGGGAAATCTGTCCCGAAGGCCAAATTAGGACCCCTGGCAAGACTCAATTAGACTTGTGGGCTGCAGGTTCCCCAAGCTACTGTTCAAGGCTAATCTGAGATGCATGTTAGATGTGGAGAGTTTCCTGCCACAAGAGGCTGGACTTAAATGGCATTCTGACTTCCCTTCTATCACTACTAATCCGTGATTCAGAATATATGAAGAGCAACTATTTGAAGCTTAGCCTTACAAAATAGCCTAGCTAGTAACTTCTGCTGAAAGGCTTCCTTTGTTGCAGAGTGTGCAATTCTGTTTTTAAAGTTACTGAATTCCTTTGCCTTTTCCAAGGCAAAATGTTGACGGGCCAATACCTGTGGAAGTTGCATCACATGTCTGCTATAACAATAGGGTGGATGCATGCTTTAAGGAAACATAACATTTTCTTTTAATGGACTAGTCAGTCAGTGGACTTAATGCAGCATTTATTTTAAAAGGATGGGGTTGGGAAGAGTGTTGGCTGAGACGTCTGTCCTAAGCGCTTGCACCTCTCTGACCTTAATGACATAGGTACTTCCTCTTCTGCTCACATTACCTGGCCAAGAAAGAAACTTGTACATTCAATAACGTATCTTTGTTTATATCCACATTTTGGCCTGAGGCTGTCACAAGCTTGGGTATCCAGACGTTTTCTGCAAGGAGGGATTCTTTTCCTATTGAAAGTAGGCTTCCCTGTCTTCAAGACTTCGCCCACTCTCCATTAAGTCACTCCCCACTCAGGTGGATATTTTACCTTTCCCCCCACAGTGATGGGTACAAAATAATGCTTAATCAATGCAACCATAATGAAATTATTCCATAAACACAGACTTCAAAGCAGCTACAGTGGAACCTTGGTTTTCAAGCGCCTCGGAAGCCGAATGATTCGGAATCCAAACGCCGAAAACCCAGAAGTAATTGCTTCCGTTTTTGAACACACCTCAGAGGTCGAACGGCTTCAGCTGCAGGTTTTTCCATTTTTTCAATGGATTTTGCCGACTGCCCATTGATCCTTGGTTTTCAAACATTTTGAAAGTCAAACTGTCTTCCAGAACAGATTATGTTTGAAAACCGAGGTTCCACTGTATTTTATTTCCTGTTCCTGTCCCTTCTTTGCAAAATTCCAAACCCTCTTCTTGTTCCACTGTCACCTCGCTTTGTTTTATAAGTGGGCTGTTTTAACTTCCCTCCTGATGGGGAATGTGTCCTCTCTATGCCTGGCTTCATAGCATTCTTAGTTTAGCCAAAATTGCTAAGTCAGTCTTGCGCTTGGTGTGTCACAATACTTCTGACTACTGAAAGCTGGAAAAGATCTGTAACGGAATGATGTTGCCATTTCTAGAAACAGCACATAAAATAGTCGATTGGGTGGCCAGCGTACTTTCCCCCCCCTCTGCCGCCTTTTCAAGGTAACCCTTCCTTTGCCAGACAGTATGAAGGGGGACCTACCAGGGAGTAAAAGGAAATAGATGACCTTCTCTTCCCTTTCCCCGATGTTCCCCCTTTTCTCATATGTGCCTTTCCATGCTGGACCCATCTACAACCCCTCTGGCTCCTTCCCTTTGCAGCTCACCTACCCAAGTGAAGAGAAGGAGAGGATGGCTCAGATTCTCCAGATGGAGATCCCCAACTTTGGTAACAGCATCCTGGAGTGCCTGAACGAGCAGCGATTGCAGGGCCTGTACTGTGACGTCTCGGTGGTGGTGAAGGGGCATGCCTTCAAGGCACACCGGGCTGTGCTGGCGGCCAGCAGCTGCTACTTCCGGGACCTTTTCAACAACAGCAAGAGCACGGTGGTGGAGCTTCCTGCTGCTGTGCAGCCCCAGTCCTTCCAGCAGATCCTCAGCTTCTGCTACACCGGCCGCCTCAGCATGAACGTAGGCGACCAGTTCCTGCTAATGTACACGGCTGGGTTCCTGCAGATCCAGGAGATCATGGAGAAGGGGACTGAGTTCTTCTTGAAGGTCAGCTCGCCCAGCTGCGATTCCCAAGGCTTGCACACCGAAGAGGCACCTTCCTCTGAGCCACAGAGCCCCGTGGCCCAGACCTCCACCTGGCCCTCCGGCAACACCCCCCTGCCCCTGGTCTCTCGCGTAAAGACAGAGCAGCAGGAGTCGGACTCTGTCCAGTGCACATTTGTGGTTAAGCGGCTCTGGGAAAGCAGCCAGAAGGAAGGGGGAGGCGGAGGCGGAGGTGGAGGCGGCAGTAACGGCAGCCGCAAAATGGCCAAGATCTCCTCGCAGCAGGAGCTGAGCGGGGGTAACCGACAGGCGCAGCAACAGCAGCAGCAGCAACAGCAGTCTCAACAGCAGGGGGCGCTAACGGGAGGCAGTGGAGGGGCAGGCGTGGTCAGTGGCCCCAGCACATCAGACCAGACGAGCCCTGGTACCTCCAGTGCCTACACTAGTGACAGCCCCAGTTCCTACCACAATGAGGAAGACGAGGAGGAGGACGCTCCTGAGGAGGGCTCTGACGAGCAGTACCGGCAGATCTGCAACATGTACACGATGTACAGCATGATGAATGTAGGCCAGACGGGTGAGTGGCAAGGGCAGAGTAGTGACAGACAACATTTCTGTTCAGCTTCATACCTGTAGGAAGGGAATTGGTTCAAGTTGCCCACCTGTGATTTGGGTTTTTTAAAAAAATAAAATAAATCATTGCAGAGATACATTATGGGGAAAGTTATTGGAGGCTGAGAAAATGAGTGTTTTTAAGTTGTGTGTTAAAACATTTAGATCTCACCCTTCTGGTGCAAGAGTGCCACTCAGAGTGACGCACAAAACCTTAAAATCTGCAGTTCTATTAAAACAGCAATATAAAACAAATTGACAGAAGACACTGGGCCAGCAGTTGAAACCAAAACATATAAAAGCCATTCAATAGAAGTCTGCTGAATTCAAGCAGTCTTCAACAACGGGGAAGCGGCAGTCTGATATCTCAGCTGGTTAGAGCATGGTGCTGATAATACCATTGCCATTTCGATACTTTTATGGGACAACTGTATATTCCTGCATTGTAGGGGGTTGGTAGGGTCCATTTAAACTCTAACAAATCTGTGATTCTAAGTGCCAACCACACTTCACAGGACAAGGCATTCGATAAGCTGGGTGCAGCCACTGAGCAGGCCCCCATCTCTCATCCCACTCAAATGAATTTTCACTCTCCAGGGGAATCTGTGGAGTTGGATTGGCTCATTCTGGGCCTCTTCACGTTTCACAGCAGAAGTATGTACATGGTATTCATCATGTGTCCACTTCTGCCTGGTGAAATGTGAGATGGGGGCACTGTCACCCGCCCCTTCACACAATACACGGCGGAAGGGGCTGCAGTTGGCCTTGACACCCCATCTTGTTTCCATGGGTGTTCTTGTGGTGTTAAAAAGTTGCTGCTTTCCATAAGTTAAGTAGTAGTGGAAAATTGCTAAGTATTTTAGATGGCATGTAGCTGCCTCTACTGTGTGAAGCACTCCCTGAGATATTGAAAGCTGCCCCTGGGGCAGAGTATCTGTATTAAAGAGTCATTTAATTCTCCATTTCTCACAGCCTGAGAATCAGGACTTGGAGGTGTGGCTTGCAGGGAAGAGAGTGGCCAGGGCTTTGAAACTGGACTCTAAAGAGGGAGTAAGCAAAGGTGGCCTGGGTTTTCTAGGGGTTAATTCCATGGGTGACTTTTACCTTGGGTTCCAGCCATCACTATGGCCTTGTATGTCCGTGTGGGATAAGGCTGTCTTTGTGCCTTCTGATTCTCTCTTTCCAGTCCAGTTTCCCATGGCCAAATACTCAAGACTCTTGAGATTTAGTCAGCAAAAATGTGCACTGAAAAGAGCAGATGTAGCAAGGAACTTAATAAGAACTTAAGAGCTCTGATGGATGAGACCAAAGCCCATCTAGTCAGTGCTCACACAAACCAACCAGATGCCTAGGTGAAGTCTACAAGTACAGCAAGAGGGCAGTAGCACTGTCCCGCTCATGGTCCACAGCATACTGTCTCTCATATTAAACACATAGCCATTATGACTAGTAGCCATTTACAGTCTTATCCTCCCATTATCATTTTTAATCCTCTTATGGTTAAGCTTGATAGACCTAGAACTATCATATATGCCTTAGTGACTCCTGGGCTAGACTACTGTAATGCATTCTACATGGGTCAACTCTTGAAGACTGTTCAGAAGTTTTGGCAGAATGCTGCTGTTGCTGCTGCTCAGCTGGCCTTCTTGTATAATATTTGTACAACATACTAAGAATTTCATAGAATCACAGAATCGTAGAGTTGGAAGGAACCACAAGGTTCATCTAGTCCAACCCCCTGCCAAGCAGGAATCTTTTGCCCAATGTGAGGCTCAAACCCATGATCCTGAGATTAAGAGTCTCGTGCTCTACCGACTGAGCTATCCCAGCAGTCACTGGCTGCTAATTTATTGCCTTAAACAGCCACAGTCCTGATCACAGGGAACATATGACCCATCTACTGAGGAGGCCCTGCTGAAGTTTGCATCTTATATGTTCAGCATCCACAAGAAATCTCTGTTTGAGTTCTAGTATTCTAGAATGCCATCCCGTTGGCTGTGCCTTTAGCCTGCCCCCCTGCCATCCTTTCAGAGGCAATTTAGGACCGTTCTAATCTTCATTTGATAGGTGGCTCATTACTTTTGATCTACTCCATTTGTGTGTTTGTTGTGTTTGCTAGTTTAAAATCATTTATGTTGTTTGTACACCATTTTGAGAAACGGTATGTAATCAAATAATAATAGGGAGCATTAGGAAAAATGCAGTGTAAGCTGTAGTATCATTGTAGTTCAGACATAAGCCTTCTATGTAGCCTTAAGAAAGTTGTCAGCCTCACCGACCTCCTTCACAGTATTTAATAAGGCTATAACAATTCTACCTAAGGGAGGTTGTTGTAAAGATGGCTGTGAATTTTTAGAAAGCACTTCGGGAAAGTGTCCTATAAATATGATGTACTATGCTCCTGACAGGTTCCTGCTTGAGATGAGCAGTGCAAACAGAAACATAAAATCAACCAGGCCTTATGGATTATGGATCTTTTGCCACCTGTCAGCATTTCATCTCCCTGCATCCCATTGAATAGTGTGGATCTAACCCTTTTCACTGACTGGAGATCCCTGTGGCAACAACAGCAATGAGCTCTCCCCACTTTCACTTTTATTGAAAAGATAAAAACACATAAGCTTCCAAACAGCTTTCTGTTCTTGTGAGAGGAGGAAATAGTGAGAGGAGGAAAAGAATTTCCTTCCAGAATATATGTTTGTGGTGGGATGTCACACAGGTATATATACCTGTTGAGATTCCACAGCTTTAAGCTTCATTCCTTGCTTGCTTTTCACACATTTCCTTCGCCTTTTCCCTCCTCGCCTCCCTTCTCCTTTTCGCCCAGCAGAGAAAGTGGAAGCGCTGCCAGACCAGGTGGCCTCCGAGTCTCGCAACCGGATACGGGTGCGGCAGGATTTGGCTTCGCTGCCCGCTGAGCTCATCAACCAGATTGGGAACCGGTGCCACCCCAAGTTGTACGATGAGGGGGACCCAGCTGAGAAGCTGGAACTTGTGACAGGTAAGATAGGTGCCTCAACCTGTTGGAGTCAAGTGGGGGGGGGCGGAGAGGGAGAATGTAGGTTTCAAGCCAGTTGCAGTCAGGAGGAAAAGTCTGGCTTGCTTCCTAAAATTAATCCCAGTCTGGTGGATTAGGGCCTTTGAAGTGGCAGTTTCTCCCACCCCCAAGAGCAAGGTGATCCTGATTGTTAGCCTACAAAATACTAGAAGATCCTTCAGGGGGGCTTCCTCTCTCAGATTAAAAACAACAGCTAGTAAATCAGGTACCACAGCTCTCGTGGTTGCAGGTTGCAAGCAGTAGTCAAGAGGGTGGGGCTGCCTGAATAGCACCCTGAAGTAATGCATGTGTATGTTACATAGAAATTGACTGGGCCCTATGCATGCGCATGGCCTCAGAGTCTGATTCGGACTTGAGATGATCCTACCAGGGCATCCCAGCTTCCAGCCCCTTGTACCTTTGTTCCGTGGCATTCTCTGATCAGTTAAAAGGAGCTGGCGGGGACCTTGCCATGCCCCGTTGCTTTAGACAAAGCATACTCCGTGAGCACTGTTTCGAATTAGCGGGAAAGACTTCAAACTCTTGATCTAAAGACTATTGGAAAGAAAGCCAGAAAAACAGGAAATCAGTTTGTAAATCTTGTTTATGAGCTAATCCAGCTTTTGGCTTTCCACTGCCCCGCACTGCTGCATCTCTTACAGGCTGGTGCCCAGCACTGGGATAGGAAGGAGAGAAACTGTGTTGGTACCCAAGCTAAGTAAGTCATATCCAGCATATGCTATATCCCGCTCAGAGCTATCTTGGGGGATTTGGTTCCTGCTGTTGGCCTTTCCTTTGCACGTGCCAATGTACTTGCTCTGTCTGCACTGAGGGGAGTGAGTTGCTCGCTCTCCTCAGTGAGACCAGCAAGTCAAACTTTCCTTTCACACAGAAGTCAACTTCCTCTTTCTCAGGTATTGGTTTGAATCTGTCTTCCCAACATCCCCAGTCCACCAAAGTTACTAGCCACAAGCACGTCCCCAAAATGTCCGTATAAAGTCGGCAAGAGCATTAGAATTGGCCCTGCCTGGATCAGGCCAATGACCCATCCAGTCCAGCATCCTGTTCTCACAGTCGCCAACCTGATTCCTTTTGGAAGCCTGCTGATGTTGTGTGCTCTCAAAAGCCACTTGTGCAGCTGTGTTTACATGATGGAACCAAACTCACCCAGGAGTTAATGACTGTTAGCCAACTTTGTGCTTGCCATAGTTCTACACCAGCGGTTCTCAACCTGTGGGTCCCCAGATGTTGTTGGATTACAACTCCCATCATCCCTGAGCTCTGGCCTTGCTAGCTAGGAGTGATGGGACTTGTAGTTCAACAACATCTGGGGACCCACAGGTTGAGAAAGGCTGTTCTACACGGAGTTGGAAGCTGAGAATGGCTGGATGGATCCCATTATAATTGTTTCTTGTTGCTTCCAGAAAGCATCTGGTACTGCACACAAGTGATTAGGTGGCTTATGGGTCTGCACCCAAGTTGAAAGCTTGTTGTTTTCACAACAGGCCTTGTCTCTTTTCCCTGCCTAGGTACCAACGTGTACATCACCCGGGCACAGCTGATGAACTGTCATGTCAGTGCTGGGACACGACACAAAGTGCTTCTCAGACGACTACTAGCATCTTTCTTTGACCGGTGAGTGAGCCTCCCAGTGTGTAGGAAAGGGGGAAAGGCTCTGTTTTGCTTTGTTTCCAGACCCTTTTTTTGCCACACCATTTCTTTCTGCTTTTGAGGCAGGACTTCTGGGCTTGAGGAGTCCTGCCAGAGCAAGAGGCGAGGCAGGAGCTGGAACGGCTAGGAGTGGACAGTTAAAGGTGGGTGGGTGGGTGGAGAACAATAAGATGCTGCTGGTAAAGGATTTCAATGCTTTCTCTTCCTCACCGCTTGCCAGGAACACCCTTGCCAACAGTTGTGGCACTGGAATCCGCTCCTCCACCAACGACCCTAGCCGGAAACCCCTCGACAGCCGGGTGCTGCATGCTGTGAAGTGTGAGTGTCTGCCTTAATAGATCCTTCTGCGGTGGGGAGGGAGCTTAGGAGTATATTATTACTGCTTTCTTGAAGGGCATGAGGTGGGAAATTTTAGCTGTGTGTCATATGGTCAATAGGCAGAATATCCTATTCCACCCTATTGGAGCACCCAGATCCGTAATGATTCCAGCAGCAGAAGCAAATACAGAGCTGGAAGCGGGTCCTTTGTCTCACTCCAGGCTGTGGTTTTAAGATTTACTGTGCTGTGAGTCATCACAGGCTTCCACCAGCATCTTGGGGGTCTTTGCTGGCTTGGGCAGGCGTTGGTGTTTGGGTTCCCGAGAGGCAAAGAGCTGTGAGGATATTAATTCCCAGCTATAGCGACCCTGATCCGGGCTCACGCCCTTCTTCTCTTCCTCAGTTTATTGCCAGAACTTTGCCCCCAACTTCAAGGAGAGCGAGATGAATGCAATTGCTGCTGATATGTGCACGAACGCGCGGCGCGTTGTCCGCAAGAGCTGGATCCCCAAACTGAAACTACTGATGGCCGAGGGCGACACTTACACCACCTTCATCAATGACACTGGCAAGATGGAGCCAGACATCATGGGGGTGGAGCACAGCTTCGAGACGGGCAGCCATGACGGTGACGCAGGCACCTCCACCGAGGGCCTCCAGTAAAAACATGCCCATCTCTTTCCCCCGCCCCCAGTCGATGGTTTTTATTTCCTAATTTGATTTTTGTAGAATCGTTTTTCCACCTTTATTTCATTTCTTCCCCCCCTCCCCCGCCCGTTGTTGGTTTTTGTTTTTGTTTCGGCAGAGGAGAAAGAGCATTGTGCCTTCTCCTTTAAAAATATATATATACATATATATATATATTATTAAACATGGGCCTTGCTTCCTCAGGCGCCACAGGTAGTACAAGCTCAGAGGGGAGGTCTTGCTGCTGCATTGGCAGTTCTGGCTGGCATTTTCTCCCCTGTCCCTTCCCTCTGTCCTTGTTGTGCTATTAATTGTTCTTAGATATATATTTTAGTAGATTTTTTTTTTTTAAATACCAAATCCATTTGCAAATGGAGGCCATGATCCAGGGAGGTCTTATCCCAGAGTGCTGCCTCTTTCTTCATCAGATCGGGTTCTCTCCAGACAGGGCTCTCTCTGACTTAGACTGATCATTGTCAAGCCTTTTCCTCAGGTTCATACCAGAGAGTGGGAAAATCCTAGTGCCATGATAAATGCGAACAGGGAAGGGACTGGACCCCAGTGCTGTGCTCATGTTATCCTTACTCATCTTGGCTTCCCTCCACTCTTGCCTAGGTATGTTCAGGTCTTGCACAGCATGGCAATTCCACCCCTGCCGTTCTCAGTACACTCCCTTTTCCTTACTCTTTTCTCTCTCTCTCTCTTTCTCCCCTTCCCTCCCTCCCTCTCAGACATACCTCTCTCTACTTTTTCTGTCTTCTATGTACCTTCCCCATCCGTTCTCTGTCTTGGAGGTTTTGACCAGCCTAGCCTACTGACTGAGAATGTATACGGCAAATCTGTTTGGCAGTGCAGCCCTTCCATATTTTGAGTGGCACAGAGTCATGAAGGGAACAAGGAAGGTTCTCACCCCCGCAAAAAACCCAAATTATACATGCAGGTCTAATGTAGCTCTGATACCTCCAATGTTTCCTAAGCCTAGTGTTCTCTCTGAGGTGTTTAGTTTAAACGTGGGGTGCAATGTGCAAACTATTCACTTTTCAGCCAGTCTGTGGAACAAATAGCAGCACTGCTGATTGAAATGCCAACCTTTTCTGCCACTTCAGCTAAATTGGCTCAAATGTCACAAGGTTTGGGAATCAGGTTTTGAAGGAAGAGGAAAGCCAAGGGAGAAAGCATCGCGTTCTTTTTTCCTAGAAGTGCCAGAAGCTACCCAGTATGCAAGGCTGCCTTTGGCCTTAGCTCTCCTCCCAGCACCAGGTAATGAATCACAGTGTGAAATTTTGCCTCTTTCTTTCCCCTGCTCCATTAGTGATGCTTCCGAGTCATATTTGGTGCATAGCAGAGGAGCCAACTCCTAGGGGCCAAGGTCCCTTCGCTCCCCCCATAAAATATTTGACGTAGCCACACACACACACACCCCGCAAGTTGATAGGCATTGTAATCCAAATAGTGTGTGTACACTAAGTCATGTCATCGATTATGCAGGGCAGGGTTTACCTCCCCCCCCCCCCCCGTTTTATTCAAGTTTGCACCCCTGGTGCATAATGAAGAACTCCCATCTTCGGGTTCATAGGGACATTTTGAGATGGGAAGTACATTTAAGTGGGAAAGCAAGCACATTTAGGTTCTACCCTGATTGCAGCAAAGCTCCTCTCCCTCTTCCTGCATTTCTATTTGTATGGTCTAAGATAACGACTTTGAATTACATTGCGAGAATCTCTCTCCTGGTTATTCTTACTAGAAAACAAAGTCTGCAATTCTCTCAGGAAACGGTTGGCCTTCCTTTGAGCAAATCAAACTGTGAAATGAGGCAATGGGTGGCAATCTTTTTTTAAAAAAAAGGAATTACAGCTTTCTAAAGAGGGTGGAAACTCCTGCCCATGAATTTCCAAGAGAATAAACTCCAGAGCAGTAGTTGTCCCTAGTAGCAAAAAGATGGCAAATGCTGTGACATCTTGGAGACTAACTGGCTTATTATTTTAAGCTGGGCTGGCTATCTCATGTCGACTCATCGGTCAGTTGAAGCAGGCCTGGTCTGGGGAAAGTCCCGTTTCTCTTAAGGGAAGGCCAGCAGTGGTCGCCAGGGCTCAGGCCACTGTTTCTTTGTGAGGAGGAAGCGAGACTAAGCAGGCCTAGTTACCTCTTGTGAAATAACTCTCTTATAATTTTTAATAAACTGTTCTAGTGAGTAGTACCAACTCTGTGCTGGTTATGTTACAGCCAGAGTTGCAACACTCAGATTCCACCAGTTTTGATGATGAGATCAGTAACAAAAATTGAACATGTTGTTATGAAAAGGGCTCAAAAGCAGCCTAGCATATAGTGAGCACTTCGCTCTGAGTGCTCCTAATTAAGCATTGGCAGTTACTCCATGTTGACAAGTGGGCTGGGGTATATTTTCACTTGTCGTAGGCAAGCTCAGAGAACACCCTGGTACATTTAATTTTGTGGCGCAGGAGGAACATACCTTGTAGTGGCTGCTTCACCTACTAGTACAAATCTATGCTTACTTCTTCACTAATTTTACTTGTATTTCTGCACCCAGGAGAGAACATTTGCAACACTAAGGATGCAATCCTAAGCATACCTAACTGGGAAGTGAGTCCCATTGAACTGAGTGGGATATACTTCTGAGTAGACATGCACAGGGTTGCACTGCAAAGATACATTTTGGGTCTCGATATCTTGGTCAGAACTCTCCTTAGGTAACTTGACAAAATGGCCACCAACCAACTGCATGACTGAGAAGTTATGTACAATAGAGTGTGGCTTTTGAAATACTAAGATGGCATGCATCCATTTTGTATGTCCTACAACATTGCTTCATCGTAGAAAGGACTTGGCTTCTACTTCAGGGCATATTTTTGGCTTTCTTTTGTTTGCACAGTTGGCAGTCTTAGCTGTTGTTTCTTTAATGAGTTATTTGATACTAAAAGCAGGACATTTTCCTTTCCTTCCACTGGAGGGAGACAAAGACAGACATGTGAATATGTTAAAAGGAAGTACTGTTTAAATGAGCACTCATTTTGCCTTTGGTGGCAGGAGACTGAGCTTAAGTCCAGGAGGCTGGATGCGTAGCATTCCCCATTGGCTCCATGTTGGCCCAGCACAGTTGCATTTCTGTGAAATGGTTGTTTGTTTGTTTGTTTGTTTTTAAATAAAAAGGGCTGGCAATAATCTAAACTTACCGTAGGCAGATCTACATTTGAAACCTAAGTCAGGTTTATACTGCTTTAAATGATATGACTTCTCCAGGGAAATCATGGGAATTGTATTTTTATGAATTTGCTGAGAATATTCTTTTTCAATCTTTCCCAGAATTGCCATTCCAGTGCCTCCGTTGGTGGAAACTCATGATAAACTGGGTTTATTTAGTGATGCAGCCACACGCTAGCTGGTGACTGTGCCAGCATTTGCACTACGCTTGGAGGAATGGATCACATTTTGCCAAGATCTGAAAGCATAAATTTTGGCATTGACACAATTCTGACATAACACTAAGTTCTCGCTTTCTTTCAGGCCATTTCTTCTCCTTCCCCACTAGCTGCTTTTAAACAGGAAAGGGTTATTTTATCGCCCAGCATGCCCTATTTTTCTATTGCATTATATGGTCATGTATGTACTTAAGCTCACTCATTTTACCCTTGTATTTTTCCCTGAAGAAGTTGAAGTGATAGGAAAGTAACATTTAAAAACATAGATATTCACTACAAAAAAAAAGTGGCAATCTCATTCTAATTTTCTTAATCTGATTTCTCAGATAGTTCTAGAAGGGAAATTTAATGAGATGTCCCTTGAGGATTGGCCTTGTTCTAAGTCATGCTGAATATGAACATGGAACAAAATAAGACATCAGCTTGGTTGCAAGGCATCTTTCAACCTAATCCAAAAAAAAAAGAACCACATGTGTAAGCAACTATACATATACATTGCCCCTGGATGCACACCTGCATGTTCATCTAAGTGTTGCTGAATGGCTGGGTGAATAATTTAATGCACATGAGGCCACCATTTGTTATGGGGTTATGAAGTTACTAGTTGAATCCAACTCCAGTTGCATATGGCCCAAGTCCCTCTCCTCCAAATGCCAGGTCATTGACTCTGTTACTCAGATATATAATATATACACACATCATTACACTGGCTGACTGATGTGCATCATACACTCTTCTCTTACTTTCTCCTCCACCCCACCAAACCTCTCCCATTTGACTATTAAGTTCTAAATTGTACAAGTTCAGATAGATTTCCCTCTCCTCTCTCCCAGTGATGGCAGAACTGGAATTTGTAACGGAACTCACTCTCTCTCTAGAGAATCAAGTTGGAGAAGTGAAGGTTGGGTGGCTTATATTTGGTTTGGAAATTACTCTAAATTCTAAGTAAATGTGGTGAAAGAGGCTAGAATGCTTTCCTATGTTCCTCTTCATGTACTAGTCCTTGTGTGCCTACTTTTCTCCACAACCTTCACGTAAGACCATCATTGGAAGAAGCACTCTTTAAAAAACACTGTGGTGGGGCTACATCCTTACCTGATCCAGTAAATTAAGCTTTTTTTTCTTCCTCCTGATCAAAAGAAGAAGAAAAAGACTTCTGGGTGGGTGGTAGAAACTAGATCATATCAAAACAGGACAAGCCCCCAAAACTCACTTTGAACCCTGTTAAAGAACAAGCCATTGTTTGAAGCAACATAAAATGTCGCTTCAAACTCTCATCTTTGGAATGACAGGTCTATCATAAATTATGCTTCTTGTTAATGCTGCCTCCCAGACTAGTAACTCACCAAAAATTGGTTTTTTAACCTTCCAGCTGGAATGCATTTCATGGCTTACATTTTAGGGTACACAGCTAAAACTGACATTTATGCCTAGGCCAAATGCGCTTTTGTTACCATGTGTATGATAAGGCCAAACCTAAGCTAAGACTGAACATACCATCACCTTCTGCATGTATATAGAGTGGAAGACATGCTTTGCTGCTGCATTGTGAGAATGGAAGCTTGTTTGCTTGCTTTGACTGCTTTCCATTAGCTTTTCTAAGTTTTCATAGTCATACCTTGGTCGTTGAACGGAATTTGTTCCGGAAGTCCGTTCAACTTCCAGAAACCAAGGCTTCTGATTGGCTGCATAAGCTTCCTTCCTGCAGCCAATCGGAAGCCCCATTGGATGTTCGGCTTCCAAAGAATCAGTCAGCAAAGTTTGAGTTTTACCTTTTGTATATCAGCCACGATGTTTGATTCCAGAGCTTTGGAAAGAGCACTTTTTAACCTACTATTGGAGTTTTGAAACATCTGTAGAAAGTAAGTGTTCAATCAAACCAATAAGTTATTATGTAACTGATCTGAGTACCTTCTTGATCCTTCTTCCTAACATAAAGCCATTTAGATATGGACAGAAGTGTGCATGGAAATTACAGGGACGCTTGGGGGAAGAGTCATAGGTCAGAGGTAGAACAAGTGATTTGCATGCAAGTTCAATCTTTGGCATTTTCAGGTAGGGCTGGGGATCACAGCACAGACAAAATTTAGCTCGATGGACCAATGGTCTGACTCTGTATTTGGACACTGAGCCTCTTGGGCTTGCTGATCAGAAGATCAGCGGTTCAGATCTACGTGATGGGGTGAGCTCCCGTTGCTCTGTCCCAGCTTCTGCCAACCTAGCAGTTCGAAAGCACACCAGTGCAAGTAGATAAATAGGTACCGCTGGGGCGGGAAGGTAAACAGTGTTTCCGTGTGCTCTGGTTTCCGTCAGTGTTCCTTTGTGCAAGAAGCGGTTTAGTCATGCTGGCCACATGACCTGGAAAGCTGTCTGTGAACAAATGCCAGCTCCCTTGGCCTGAAAAACGAGATGAGCACCACACCCCATAGTCACCTTTGACTGGACTTAACCGTTCAGGGGTCCTTTACCTTTTTTACCTTTATCCTGAATCTCATTTGGCTGAACTTAGGTGAGCAATTTTATTTACACTGGAGCATGGAACAGAATAACCTCTTGCAGCATTTGTCTGCATGCAAAAGGGTTGTTTTTTTTTAAAAAAATCAGGTGTGATTGGCTTAGGGCATCTCCTAGGCCAAAAAGATAAGAGTTGTACATTTTCTCACCAGGAGGCTTGGCACCTTTAGGAGAGTTGGCCCAAAGTAGCTACTAACCTTGAAATAACATTTGAAGAATCCTATCCTGTTTCTCTGTGTTGTGAGCTGTGTTGGTAGGACTGCCAGATCTAAATTTCAAAAACAAAGGGACACTGGAAGAGGAATGTCTGGACATATGTTATGACCTATTGGGGCTGTGCTTTTTGGAATTCTGGGTAGGTAGCATCCTGGGGAGACCCACTCTGAGGCAATTGAAACAGCACTGTCTAGTCCCATGGATATTATCTGGAGATGTAACAGAATGGGGAGATCCAGCATAAATGTCCTGCAGTAGAGGAAACTTAAGAATTACCTATATTAGAGGATCTCTGAGGATCACTTGGACTCAAAATGTTATAATCTTTCTCTGAGGTTCCTTCTAGCCAGCTGAATAATTCTCTCCGCCCACCATGGTCTATTTGCATCTTGGGCAGGCTTTCTGTTGGAAATGGGAATAATCCCACAACGGGGCGAAGGGAATGAGGCCTTCTTCTGTCTTTTCTTGTATCCACTTTTTGGTCCATCTTTTATTTTTTGCTTTTGTTGGGTTCTTCTTTTTTTTTCTAAACTAGAGCAAACAATTTTATAAAAAAGGACAAAAAATGTACACTGAAAAGCACTAACAAAGCCTGATTATGTAACCTCTGTGCAGATGCAGCATGGACTTTTCTCTCTTCCCCCTTCCAGGCGCTTTGGGTTGATGCAAGCAGCTACTCCAATATCAGCCCCTCTCCCTCCCTTGCCCCTTGTAAAACCCTCTCAGAGAGGAAAACAGATCCTTTAAAATGAAATAACAAAAGCATCCTCCCCCTTTCCCCCGCCCGCCCCACCCCAGCTCCCTCAGCACCCCCTGCTTTTCACCTTAAAGCCCACCTCTTTGCCCCTGGATAATGCCAGTATTTGTTCTGTGTTATAAGTGCCAAGAAAAATTTTGTGACTCCCTCATCCCTGTGACCTGAGAGTATCAAGAAATTGCACATTAACTACTGTAAAGATTAAAAATAAAAAAAGGAATTCAGAAATGTTAATAAAAAAAAAAGTTTGTAACAGTTGCGTGCCTGACCATTTCATTTGTAAGCTTGATTATTCCCTAGGGAGTTTATCATGGAGCAGCCTTGCTGAAATTAAAAACAGACTGGATTTGCTTAAGGTAGGTATCTAAGCTTTGGAGCATTTCTGTGGATCCATCGGGCTAAGTAACTTCTATTTCCAAATTAAGCAACCCCATTGTACAAAACAAATACGACTGAGATTCATGTTTGTGTGTTTCATTAAATTTCATATCTTGCTCTTCAACTCCCCTATACTAGAGTACAGATGGGCAACTGGTTGCCCTCCATATGTTGTTCGTTCAACTCCTGCCAGCCCTTATCAGCATGGCCAATGGTGAAGGCTGATGAGAGTTGTACTCCAGCAACATTGGGAGGGCCACTGGTTCCCCACCCCTGGACCAGACAAAGCATTCCTTAAACCACGGCATAAATGTTTGCAAAATCGGGCATCATTTGATTAGCATATTTACCTTTTCTTGAGTTCAGCAGAACTTGTTGAATTTCTACTACTCTACTGAAAAGAGTGGCTCCGATTAAATTGCTGTGCACAGTTCCCTGGGACTAAGCCCCACTGAACACAGATTGAACAACATCAGATTAGCCTGCAAACTGCACAGCAAGGCTCTCGGGGAGGGAGGACATGATAGGAGGTTTGTACTGCTGCAAAAGGGAAAAGACAAGCGAGAAATTACTCGGTTGCTTGGAATACAATGTGATCACAGCCTTGAGCTTTAGGCAATCAGTTAAGAATCATCTTAAATAATGCCCCCACAATTCAATAAGAATGACTGAGAGTGCATTCAAAGTGCATTAGATCCCTAGCTTCAAATAACTTCTGTGGCTGGCCGGCCATAGTTGAAGACAGAATGCTAGACTAGTTAGATCAAAGTAGGGTTCTCTTCTAGTTCAGAGGTGGGGAATTTCTGTCGCTTCCTATTTTGTTGGTCTTCAGTGTCCAGCAGCCAGGGATGACAGTGACAATCTGACATCATCGGGATGGCCATTGCTGCTCTTGTTTTCACATTTTGGGGTATGTAAATATCACCACTCCCTTCCCACAGCAACATTCCAGAACCAAAGTTTGTATTAAATAGAAGTATAAAAACTTTTATTTATTTTTTTCTTGGAAGAACTAAAAAGCTTGTTCTGGTACCTTTTTTTTTAATAATACTTCACAATAGAAACAGAATGGCTTCTGAGTGCATGTGACAGCAGGGCTGCCTCATAGAAAGGACTGTTATCCTCCACATCAGGCTACTGAGTCACTTGAGCTTGGCTGAAAGTAGCCTCTTTATATCAGCATAGACTGTGTGTCCTTGGCAGGGATTTAGACCTAAGGGGAGAAGGTTTGTTTACCATATAACTGAAAGGGATTGAGCTGACTGGGTGTCTGGAAACCAGTTTTCTTGAAGTGCTTGGCAGCACCCCAGAAGTACTGGCACCACTTGCAACCTGAAGCACAGCACTGAAGCCTAAGGGATTTGGGTGATGAGATTCTGACATTTTGCTCCCTGTTTCTGTTGGACGGCTGGGCTCACGGTAAGAGAAGGAGTTTTGGGGTGATGTTGCCAGTTCCACGAAGCAAAATCCCTTTCTTGGCATTTAATGCAGTGAGATGGCTTTGGCCTGTTCTCAACTCTGAGCAATTTTGCCCTTTAAAAAGGAAGCGAGGCCTTTGTCCTACCCTGTCTATTCACAGTATCCATCTGCTACTGGCT